CTACACGAAATACCAGAATTTAGGGTGAACTTCTATAGAATAAAAAGCACTAAAATGATGACATAAACATCAAATTAAATCTATAAACTTAAAGTAATAAATAGCTACATTTATTGATTTATAAGTTGTGATTGTTTATTCTACTAACCATATGAGTGTCCAATGGCACAGCTGACACCTGGTCTAACAAGAATGTCCCTTCACTGGTAGTGGTTATTTGAAGACTTGAATAGTGATTAGTATGTTTTGCTTCCACTATTGTCTCCACCCTTTTCCATTTTTTATCTCCAAAAACATGCCTGTTAAGGACTATGTATTAGTCATTTTAATCATTACAAAATGTAGATTTATGGCTTATTGAGTATAGGCTATAGAATCTCTACAATTCTAAATAAGAAGGAACTTGCCTGGTATTTGATGCCACTTTTATAACATCAATACCTGTGAATGAAAGTTGAAAATCAAACTTTGTTTCTGACTTAACATGGTAGACCACCTTGTATCTCTTTCCTTGCTCAAAATTCTGAACATGAAAAAGTTACTCCATGTAAACACAAAGTGTGATTTAAATGAGCCTTTTTTATTGTCATTATTATTTATGTTGAAGATTTAAACTTACATAACACAAATACAAGAAAAATATGAAGAGAAAGTTGTAATGTGTGTGTGAATGGGAAGTACATATGATTTCTCTTACCATGCCCCAATAGCCCGGATTAGAGATACCAACGCCACCATATGGGCAAGGTTTGAGACCCCCACAATACACCTTCATTTGTAATGCAGCTTTATTACGCTCAAAGCAAGAGGTCTGGTTTATTGATACAGAAATGGATGACTCATTTCCAATAACTGACCAAGGATAAATATTTAAGGTGTTGTCTGGTCCTCCAGCTTCAAAGCCTAAAAAAATAATAAAATACTTAAAATATATACTGAAATCTAATGGAGTCTGTGGATTGAAAAGACAAGATGAAGAAAAGTTTATGGATTTGGAAATAACCTCTATTGCTTACAAGTTCTGCCCATAGTCCCCCAGCACCAGCATGATTTATCTCCTGAAAATTTAATTCAAAGAAACTGGTGAATTTATAAAAATTGAAATGAGATTAGTTTATTTTTTGTGATACTTTTTTATTCTTCTGTTTGGATGATAAATGAGATTATTCTGTTGCAATCCACAAACAATTTTAAAGTCGGCTTTTCATGATGAGGGCCAAAATTGTCATGCATGTCTGCAATGAAGGTAAACGTGTAGCCTTTATCATACAATATCTTGAAATCATACAGTTTATTGCACATTATTTAAAAACCTGTTTAGCATTAAAGGTCTTGCCATAAACAAGTCTTTCAGATAAAATTTCTGTCAAATTTTAAGAGGATCATTGCCAGATCTTGGTAGGAAGGGAAATATCATGTGTTTATGCTTGGAAAATAGTTGAAGCTTACTTAAACTACACTATGAAGAAAGAAACACCACTATCCATTTTATTAGGAGTAAGAATAATTGGCTTATGAGGAGAAGGAAGGTTGCATACCTCAAAGAACACTCCATGAAAACTTTGAGGAATTCTCCTTGCATTCTCCTTATCAAAGGAAGCATTTACAACCAGTGTTGAGTTCCCATCAGCAAAACATTGTTGAAACGAAAGAAAATGAATAAGGAGGGAATAGAGCATAACACCAAACCAAGGCCTGAGAGAACAAAACACCATTTTGGAAAAGGTTTGGATGACAAATTTTGCGGTGGTGATGATATTTGTCTAACAAGTCATATTATATAGGGAAGGAACATTCCTAACAAATGTGCTCCTCCAAACTACCTAAAAGTAAAAGGTATGAAATGTAATAGAAAATGCTACTTTTATTCATTCTTTCAGTAATGTTCTTGATTGATTTTGTTTTGAGTCCCCCTGAGGTTCATCTCTATCACATTTTCACATGAGACATACTGTTTGTCTTATACCAGAGTTTTACAAGTAAAACATCTCTATTTGTGGGTTATACGAACAGGCCAGGATACAGCTATGATATTTGACATCTATTTGCATAACAATAATTTGCTCAATTTATAAATAAAATATAACCAATGAAAATAATGAAAATTGTATTATTAGACTTGGTGACATAAGTTGTAGGTAGTCTGCAGAATCCACAAGTGAGACCAGCTCAGAGTGTAGGTTGTGCAGATCGAATATGAACAACCTACATTTAAATTTTTTGTCCAAAATCAACATGCATCTATACAAAGTACAATTATGTAGGTAATATGAGGACTTTATACAAATACCTGGTCAACATCTCCCAACTTAATTGTTATTTGGTTGGAGTACCCACATTTGATATGACTTGATAAATTAAAAGATAGAAAGGAGCTGTCACTGATAATGGCATCTTTCTCTCAATCCTTGCAAACTCTCAAACAGAGTTAATTTGCAATTCTGCAGCACATAGCTTACCAATCCTAACCTTTTCATTAGATGAAATGTATTGGGTTGAAGAATCTCCTTACCAAATTGAATCTATTCTCATCTCTGATGTAAATCATTCGGACGTTTACATAAAGCCAAATACATTTCTAAAAATACATGAACGAAAAGAACACATTTTAAGTTAAGTTCAAATTGCATGTCTATTGTTTTCTAATAAAATTTAGACTAAATTGTAATTTTGATCTTTAACTTTTTTCAGTTTTTACTTGTATTGGTGTCCCTCTCACTGCAATTACTGTCTTTTTTAGTACTGTAAAGTTACCGAGTATCAAGTTTCTCTCCATTCTCATCTGATAGACCCAAAATCAATGGATGATGAAGCTGGAAATTTTCACAAAGTTATGAATAATTAAAACTTAAATAATAAAAATTGTCTAAAGAAATAAAAATCCAAAGTTACAGATGATTAGATAAGAGACTTGAACTGTTTAAAAAAACTTAGAATCACAATTACAAATTTTATAAAATATTGCAACCAAATTAGAATTAAGCTTAAATTTCAGGGGTATGTTTAACACCGACAACCTCAAAAATATTCCTTATTAATAAATTAGAATGAACATGCAATGAAATGGAAACTCGCACTAAATGGTTAGTCTATTTAATATAAAGAAATAGTTACACAGAACTCTGTTTAGTTTATAGTCACCTTTTTCATTTTCTGATATCTTGCTCTGTCTTCTGTCCTCTTAATTTTTCAGGTCACCTTTCAATTTTTGTATCCGTTATGAAGTGACTTCTTTTGTATGTAATCTCAAAAGTGTATAAAACAAATACAGGTCACATGCTACATGTTACCTTATATATATATATATATATAAGGNTAAAAGACAGATATATATATATATATATATATATATATATATAATTGTTTAATTTTTCAAGATCTGTTTGAACAAAGTTTCAAGGTACCCATTATGCCGACTAACTTGACATTTATTTTCAAATGATTCTTTTTCTTATTCACTCCAAAATGAAGATCAAAATGTTAATTTTTCAGTTCAATAACGTCTTTTTAGCACTACAAGAGTGGACAATGAGATGCATCTAAATACTTGACATCAATATCTAAAAATGATTAACAGTTGGATTAAAACTCATGATTAAAGCTGTCATGTAGTTTAAGAAAGGTGAACAGAGTGTTTTCTTATGAACTCAGGAAAATAATTAGATGCTGATAAACTGACAAGTCCGTGGACAACATATACTTCCAAGTGTTTGATAAATGCTTGTGACTACTCATTCTTGTGACCAAACTTACAAATTGTACATCTTGCCAATTAAGCATCAATGATATGATTCTGAGTGAGTAACAATTTTATATATACCAACAAGTGTAGGGTTCCATGTCTGAACCAGCGTGAAGAAGATAACAATAGTTTTTGTCTAAGCTCAGACATCGTTTTCACAAATTCTGGTCTTGTATGCATGTGAGTTGGTCTATTCACTGTAGGCATGGCCATTTGGGAGAACCCACCTCACATACACAGATGAGCAAAAGTTTTATGTAAATGAAAATTGACATCTACCAAACAAAATGATACATTTAAAGGAACAAATAAGATTTGGAATTTTGTTATACTCTTTTACTACAAAATTGTTTTTTCAATCATCATTTGTTCATCACATCCATCCAATCGGTAACTTTCATTTTGACTATTTTCCTTTCTAAGTTTTAATCCCAATCATGATGGATGCGTCTATTGGTTTATAATAGGACGATGATGATACCTTTTGCACCCTTTACATTTTTCTCTAGCATCGTTTTTCTACTCAACAAATTCTAAACCTAAAATTACCTCATACTAGTATTTACTTTATGTTTCGAGTTTATGGGTCGACACTTCAAGTAATTTCTCTCAGGTCTCAACTCTTTTCCTTGCTATTCATATGCTTCAACTCATCGATTATACTTGCTAAAGATATTATGATGGTTAAGTTAGTTCCTTATCTGAACGGATTAACATTAATTGTTAATCCGTTCAGATAAGGAACTAACTTAACCATCATTAATGCTTCAACTCATCGATTATACTTGCTAAAGATATTATGATGGTTAAGTTAGTTCCTTATCTGAACGGATTAACAATTAATGTTGTAATAAATGCGTTGTATGTTAAGACAAAACCATTTATACGCTTAAACGCTCTCATGTTTTGAAGTTTAATCAAATAACATTAAATGGAAAAATATGAAAACAACATAGGATGAAAACACAAGACTTAGAACCAAAATCCCCAACACAGAAAACCTTAGAAAAACACTTAGGATGTTAGGATACATAGAAACAACCAAGACAAAACATCCAAACACAATTTTAAACGAATATCAAGTCAAAAGTATCTAAGAGAGTTGAAGCTACATGCATAAAACTTATCATACCTAAATGGTATTCAATTTAGCTCTAAAAGAAAAAACATGTCAAGACGATGTCATTGACAAAACACACCAAATGACTAAAACTTAAAACACCAAGAGAAAACTTAAAGTAAGTTAAACGATGTATGTCTGAAAAGGTAAAATCACAATAAGTGTTTACTCTATCTAAACGATACCATGAGCCAAAACATTACTTCACCAGACGATGAAGTCTTTAATCAATGCTTGGCATCTATAGAAGAAAAACATAATTGTCAAATGTTACCTTAACAATAGGAAATCAAAAAGCACTTTGTTATTCTGAGCAAACATTAAATGACATTAAATGCTCAACATTCAAAAGCAACAAAAGTGTTAAGAAAAAAACATATTTGTTGTATGCATAATCTACTATATTCTTTGCAGATGATCTATTCTACACGCATCCACAAACTTCAAATCAAAATAGAAGAAGTGAACGTTAAAGACAAAAGAGATATTCACAGAATGTTCTTTACTTGAAGCCATGTGTAAAATAACTTACAACCTACTTCAAGCAAATGACTGAAAAAACATGTCTGCTTTGACAAATTGACTTTATCCAATGGCTGTTGTACACAAAGAAAGAGAAAGCAAAAGAATCAAGGTCAAAATCTTAGTCTAACAAGAATTTATCCAAAAAACTTATAAATAGAAGAACTTTCAAATGAAGAAACATCTTTTAAAGCGAAATATTAATGGATGCAGCAACCACATGGCGAAAGATTAAAGCGTCTTCATAGACATTGATAAATTTGTCAATGTCAATGTTAAAGTTGGGCTAAGAAATGACACCATAGTGAAGTCTCGAGGCAAAAAGGAATTGTCATGGTGGAGACAAAGAAAGGTACAAAATTCATCAAGGATGTTTTCCTAGTTACAAATCTTAAAGGAAATCCTTTAAGTATTGGCCAAATGATGGAGAATGAATATTCTCTTTATTTTGAGAAAGATACATGAAAAATTTATGACAATAAAATGATAAAAATTGGCCAAGTAAAAATGGAGAAGAGAAGTAGAAACTTTCCTATAAGCTTAAACCTGGAACTAATATTGCCATGAAGGTAGAAGTTGATGACTCATGGCTTTGACATAGGAGATTTGACCACTTCAACACACATGCCATAAAACTTATAAAAAAAACATGATGATGGATCTTCCATGCTCGAAGGAGAATAATGAATCATGCGAAGGATGTCTCCTCGACAAACAACATTGATTACCATTCTCAATAGACAAAGCATAGAGAATAAAAGACTTATTAAAGTTGATTCATACTGATGTTTGTGGACCAATGAAGACGCCTTCACATCACAACAATAGGTATTTCATCCTCTTTATTGGTGAATTCTCTAGAATGACATGGGTCTATTTCTTAAAGGCAAAGTCAAAAGTCTTTGGAGTATTCAAGAAATTCAAGACTCTTGTAGAGAAGCAAAGTGGAAAATAGATAAAAGTACTTAGAAGTGATCGTGGCAAGGAGTACACATTTCGTGAGTTTGAAAAATTCTGTGAAGATGAAAAAATATAGTGACAACTTACAATCGCATATACTCCACAACAAAATGGAATGTCAGAGAGAAAGAATCACACAATTCTGGAGATGGCAAGATCAATGGTAAAAGAGAAAAGTATGCCTAACACTTTTTGGGCTGAAGCAGCCTACAGTACAATTTACATTCTAAATAAATGTCCAACTAATGCAGTTCATGACAAGACTCCTATTGAAGCTTGTAGTGGAAGAAAGCCATAAGCTAAACACCTACGAGTATTTGGATCTATCTGCTACATACATGTTCCTAATCAAAGGAGACACAAATTTAAAGATAAGACTATACGAGAAAAATTCTTGGGATATAACACCTAGTCAAAAGGCTATCGAGTCTACAAACTACAAAAGAAAAAGCTCATCATCAGTCAAGATGTTGAAGTTGATGAAAATTCTTCTTAGAATTGAAAGAAGAAAAAGTTGTTAAAAGCAACATTTTAGTTCTAGTGCAACAATCTTAAGAAGAAAAAAAAAGAGGCAAGAAATTAAGGTACACTTTCTCCACTCCAAGAAGACTAAGATCTTTGGTAGACATATATGGATCTTGTAATACGGCCATGATTGAGCCTAACTATTATGAAGAAGCATCAAAATAGAAGTATGGGTCAAGACTATGGAAGAAGAGATTAAAATGATTGAGAAGAATAACACTTGAGAACTCGTAAATTGCACTGATGGAAAAGACATTATTGGAGTGAAATGGATATATAAAACAAAGCTCAATCCCAATGGAATTATACAAAAGCACAAAGCAAGATTAGTTGTCAAAGGCTACTAATTAAAATCAGGAATCGACTACAATAAGACATTTTCTCTAGTTGCTCGCTTAAATACAATTAGAGTTTTAATAGTTCGTGCAACACAAAAAGGATGGATTATCTATCAATTGGATGTCAAATAAGCCTTTCTAAATGGAGTGCTCTAAGAAGAGATTTATGTTGAACAACCACAAGGCTTCATCAACAAAGGCAATAAAGGTAAAGTACTAAGACTTAAAAAATCATTATACGGCCTGAAGCAAGGTCCTCGAGCATGGTATAGCAAGATTGATCAATACTTCATCGATCAAGGATTCAGGAGGAGCAAGGGTGAGCCAACA